TTGAGCTGAAAACGGGACTTCTCAAACATGTCGATAAACCTCCTTCCCTTTCCTCCCCCCACCCTTTTTGTTTCTTCTTCTATTCAGTCTTCTCTTATCTTCCCAAAATGGAATTTATTACTTTTATTAATCATTAAAGAACTAATATAATTTCAAAACGTATTCGTAGATTTTTATAAAACGGGAAAAATGTTCTTCAAAGTACCCACGGGACTGCTCTAAAAAAACGGGACGGGACTGTCCCGGTGAAAACGGGATGTATGGTCACCCTATGGATAGTGGCGTCATGGTACAAAGGAAGACACCAGAGCTCTTCAAAAACTATACACAATGACATGAACAAGTAATATATGTTTAGCTATACACTAAAATGTTAATGTATGAAGGCTTAGACAGCCCCCCCCCCCCCCCCCCCCCCCCCCATCCATCCCCACCCAACCCAACCATGTGTAGAGGTAAACTTTTCGTTGTGTTGATAGATATATTATTCCAAACATAATATTATATATTTTTGTAATTCTGCCACTAACAATATTATTGTTTTACGTTGTATTGTTATTTGCGTTAAGCAAACGTTACAGTTTGGATAGCTGAAAATACAACTTTTTACCACAACTGCTGGATATTGTGGGGATGGAGAGAGCTAAGAAAGAACTTTCACTCCACGTTGTGATATCTCAATTGAAGGAACAATACTTAACCAAGTCAATAAATTCAAATATCTGGGTACATTCATATCATCAGATAGAATATGTGTGACAGAGATTAAAAGAAGAATAGGTCAAGCGAAAGCTTCATTTCAGAAAATGAAAAATATGCAATAAATCGCTCTCATTTAATGTCAGAAGAAGGGTGCTAGAATGTTACATAGAACCTGTTCTACTGTATGGCAGCGAATCTTGGAAAGTCAGTGAATAAATTAGGAAGAGTTTGGAAGCAACAGAGATGTGATTTCTGAGACGAATGTTACGTATACCTTGCACGGCCAGAGAAACTGTTCTACTCATTGAAAGAAGCTAATAAAAGTAAATCTCCATATACAACAATAAGAAATAGACAAACACTGTTCTTTGGTCCAATAATGAGAAAAGAGAGATTGGAGAACATTCTTACAACTGGAAAGATCAGTGGGAAAAGGGGTAGAGGCAGACCAAGAGAGACGATGATGGATGAAACAATGGCATGGGGGAGGGGGGGGATATCATCAGGAGAGCTGTTCCAGGCAAACAGGGATCGTGATCTGTGGAGATGCATGAGCACCTACGCCAGTTGGCAGGGCACATGATAATGATGCTGATGATGACGATGATTGTATTGTTGTATTGTGTTATTATTTTTATTATTGTTATATTTATTATTATTATTATTATTATTATTATTATTATTACATGATTGAGTAGCCAGGTTCACCATTTTGCAAATCACATGTATCTTTTTGCAAACCAAATTCGCCATATGCGCAGTTCACATTCATCCTTTGCAAACCAAATTATTGTTGAAATTAAACACATTTTGTTTCAAAATTCGCTTTCGCTCCTACGTGTGTCTCAGAGCTTTAACTGGCCAGACATACATGTGATGTTCTCTTAGAGATTCCTCAGCTAAGTGATTATGTTTACTATTGTTGTGGTTGCCACATTTTCATGATAGGCTGAAATGTGTAGCAGGCCACACCCTGCGCTACGTGGCTTAGAGGGTAATGAATGCGGTTAACAATGTCATGATCCTTGAGTACTAACTAGGGCTCGATCCCCGCCGTGGACGTATGAAAAAAAAAATGGCTCCCGTGGTTTTCGGACAGTAGTACGAGAGTCACGCCGTGAAAGCGATTAGGGTCTCACAAAGTAATATTCCCAAAGGACAGTAGTGGTATGTGCTAGCCAACCTTCACTGTGGAGACGACACAAACTTTTTTCATGCCCGTTTGCTGCAAATCTGGCTGGCATGATGTTGACAACATTACCCATTTAATGCAGACTTGACTACAAAATGATGTCTAGCCTGATGTGCCCAAGGCTTGAAAAGGGCCAGTTAATTAATATGTGGATCACCCAGTCTAAAACTGTACGTCTCTTCATCAAAGACCGGAAACTCTACATCGACTTCAGCGTATGGAAGAGTTTACCCCTGAACCACAGCTACACCCCAACAACAAGTCAGGAGGAAGCGGAGTCGCTTACATGTAACCTTCTCTCAGCTGATATCATCAGTGAAAGATTATTCGGTAATCCTGTTTGAACGTCGGAAAGACTCCGATTTTTTCCAATGGACTCTGCCAGTCATAAGCAATCGGAATATAATCGTGTTGGCGTCCAGCGAAGTGGAACAGTCACAAGACTTTGTTTCCCCCGACATCATCCATCAACAAGATTCGCATTACTCTCAATAAGTCTCCATTTGTTTTCACGCCAACCGAAGCTGTTGGAAAAACTTTCCTCCCAGTTAAAAGACACGCAATCCTTTGATTTTTCCATTTGCCATAAACAGGATTATCGTTAGAAGGATAATGACATCCAGTTTATGAGCTTCGAAAGGTTTGCTTCCCCTTTCGTCTTGAGCAATCCATTATACCCTATTGAGAAACAGGGAATGCTCTTTAAAAGTCAAATTATGCCGGACACGAAATTGGATTCTGCAATTTGGTTTCCCCTAATGAAAAGCACCTCTCGTTTCCTGGCGCGAGTCACTCGTTCATTCCTATTTTTAAAACGTTCTGCGTGAAAAGAGTGCTACAGATCTCACACGACGTCGAGCGATATTCTCTGCTCATTTCTTTGAGGCGATCAGCGGCGCTTTAAAGCCGTCGGATATCAGTGAATTCAGCCTATTGATTTTATAATTTTCTTCTCTATTATACAAATTACTTAATTACCGGAGGCCGAGCGAGTAGGAGACTGCGATGATTTATTCCGTGCCGCTGACGCTGGCTCGTTTACTGGGTTTCTTATCCGCGATCCGATATTACAAGGGGGGACATAATGACCCACGATCGAAGCCGTCCTGAAATACCCCTGCTTATTTGGAAGAGGAATATTGGCCGCGATCTGGCCGGAATGGAGTTTGGCTTCATCAAAATCACGCCCGCTGCCGGATTTCTACGATGGATGGGGATACTAATGTCTATGTCCATTTAGCAATCGTAGAGATGTTGCTAGGAAAACTGGAAATATAAAACCCGGAGTGTGAATGTAACAGAGAAGCTAGCCAGAATAAGTAGATTTATGCTTGCTCTCTGGTCAGACGTGACTTGGTGTTGATGGCGACTAGCAAGCTCAGTTGGGCAGATCTGAGTCAGGAAAATAAATCCGAGACTTTGGGAGATGGAAGATTGGGTTCGGTTTGTTTTAGAGGTTGATATTTCCGGTTTCTAGCAGCATTAGAGGGCGGACACAGACCAACCGTGTGTACACGGCGATTAATAATCAATGCAGATATGAACATATTTGCTTATTCATAAATTCCTCGGGCATCGAAGAGAAACTATCTAGTTTGCACTGTTTTACCTTCAGCGTCACATACTGTATGTTTCTGGACAAAAAGTATTAGCTTACACTTGTAAACAAATACAGATAAAACTCTTTATATGTTTATAAAATAATATTTAAACACAAAGGGGGGGGGGGGGGAACCCTTTTTATAACACGGCAGTTCTTCGGCGAAGAAATATATATTGTTAGACACACTGTAAGAACTGTGAGCACGTTTCATAGTTTACAATTTTTGTAGCAGACATATCTGAATGTATCTGGATAACTCTTCTTCGTCACCATTCCGAGCCCTTGGTTCATTGCTATATCACCCGCCTCCACTCGTCAGTCTGGTGCGCCTTCTCTTTTGGTGACACCAAGTGTTGGCAGGTCTGTCTGGACATTATCTCTCCATAGTGTTTTTGGTCTAACTCGTAGTCTACGACCATTCAGCTCCCTTGTGTATTCAGTTTTTACCTCTCTGTGATCCGACATTATCTCAATATATATTAGATTTCCTAATGCTTATTTAAACAACTTTAAACGGATTATGAATTTCGCCGTTGCTTCTCACTCTTTACTTCCAGCTGTTTGCATCTTTGATGAGTCCAAAGATTCGTCAAAAGACTGTTTTCGAAAATATGTAATAAGGCTTCATCTCTTTTAGTTGTCCTCCAAGCTTCAGAAACATATAGAACGACCGGTCTTATCAACGTTTTACATATTTTGATCTTGGTGTTGCGAGATAGAGACTTTGACTTTAGCAAATGTTTTTATGTTATTATTTTTAGATTTTATTTCTTCTGTCAGCATGTTAGAGCAGTTGATGTTTGCACCCAAGTAACTGCCATTATCTTTCCGTTCGTTTGATTGTCATATTATCGACTTGTATGTAGCCGGATTTTATATCATTCTCCTGTTTTGTTATCACCATGTATGCTGTCTTACCTTGATTGATAACTAGTCCAATTTTGTGAGCAGCTTCTTTTGAGAGAGTCAGTGTTTTTACAGTCGCTAGTTCATTTTCTACAACGATATCAATGTCATCTGCATAATCAAGTATTCTTGTAGTTTCTACTATAGTACACTTTCGTTTTTCTCCAGGGCCAAGTTGAAAATAAATGGGGACAGAGCATCACCCTGCTTTAAATCAGATGTTATTTAAAAAAAGGTCTGACTTTCTGCCTCTGTATGTTACCATATCATAAGTGTCTTCCATATAGTCTGATCATGGTAGCTTTTATGGTATTTTAAAAGCCTTCATAGCATTCCATAAATTGTTTCTATGCACACTATCATACGTCTTTTTAAAATCCACAAAAACATTACTTACCCCTCATCTATATTCCCAGTTTGCACTGCTATTTGGATAATGACATCAAGTGTTTTTTGGTGTGTGTTTTTTGTTTTGTTTTTGTTAATTCGATTCTTTCGTAAAATTAAATGCTCCTTGGAGGCAGATTCGAATCCTAGCTCAAGCTAAGCTTTATATTTAGTATTCTGTGAGCGCCAAGTACAACTGTGCGTGTTCTGTTAGTGCCAAGTACAACTGTGCGTGTTCTGTGAGTGCCAAGTACAACCGTGCGTGTTCTGTGAGTGCCAAGTACAACCGTGCGTGTTCTGTGAGTGCCAAGTACAACCGTGCGTGTTCTGTGAGCGCCAAGTACAACTGTGCGTGTTCTGTGAGTGCCAAGTACAACTGTGCGTGTTCTGTGAGCGCCAAGTACAACCGTGCGGGTTCTGTGAGTGCCAAGTACAACTGTGCGTGTTCTGTGAGCGCCAAGTACAACTGTGCGTGTTCTGTGAGTGCCAAGTACAACCGTGCGTGTTCTGTGAGTGCCAAGTACAACTGTGCGTGTTCTGTGAGCGCCAAGTAAAACCGTGCGTGTTCTGTGAGTGCCAAGTACAACTGTGCGTGTTCTGTGAGCGCCAAGTAAAACCGTGCGTGTTCTGTGAGCGCCAAGTACAACTGTGCGTGTTCTGTGAGTGCCAAGTACAACTGTGCGTGTTCTGTGAGTGCCAAGTACAACCGTGCGTGTTCTGTGAGTGCCAAGTACAACTGTTCGTGTTCTGTGAGCGCCAAGTAAAACCGTGCGTGTTCTGTGAGCGCCAAGTACAACTGTGCGTGTTCTGTGAGCGCCAAGTACAACTGTGCGTGTTCTGTGAGTGCCAAGTACAACTGTGCATGTTCTGTGAGTGCCAAGTACAACTGTGCGTGTTCTGTGAGCGCCAAGTACAACCGTGCGTGTTCTGTGAGCGCCAAGTAAAACCGTGCGTGTTCTGTGAGCGACAAGTAAAACCGTGCGTGTTCTGTGAGCGCCAAGTACAACCGTGCGTGTTCTGTGAGTGCCAAGTACAACCGTGCGTGTTCTGTGAGCGCCAAGTAAAAGGGTGCGTGTTCTGTGAGCGCCAAGTACAACTGTGCGTGTTCTGTGAGTGCCAAGTACAACCGTGCGTGTTCTGTGAGTGCCAAGTACAACTGTGCGTGTTCTGTGAGCGCCAAGTAAAACCGTGCTTGTTCTGTGAGCGTCAAGTACAACTGTGCGTGTTCTGTGAGCGCCAAGTAAAACCGTACGTGTTCTGTGAGCGCCAAGTACAACTGTGCGTGTTCTGTGAGCGCCAAGTAAAACCGTGCGTGTTCTGTGAGCGCCAAGTACAACTGTGCGTGTTCTGTGAGCGCCAAGTACAACCGTGCGTGTTCTGTGAGCGCCAAGTACAACTGTGCGTGTTCTGTGAGCGCCAAGTACAACCGTGCGTGTTCTGTGAGCGTCAGAAATATTAATAATTATTACTGTATGATGAATAGCGAAGAGCAAATCATATATTTGAAATATTGTGAAATGTACAACAAAATGTCTACATATGGTGTGGGTTGGGGGTTGCTGCTCTTGAAATGGGGAATGGGGGAAGGTGTCCTCCTACACATGTGGGGGGGGGGGGGGGGGGGGGGGGAGTTGTGGGGCGGAGACATTTTAGGAGCATGTTTTAAATATAATATTATATTCATTTGTCATTCAACCCGGTATATTATTATTGTTGTTGTTAATATTATTATTATTATTATTATTATTATTATTATTATTATGCTAAATGGCAAAGAAATATAATACTATACTTGAAATAATATGAAATTATAAACAGACACTTTCTGAGATAATTTATATTAATGGCTAAAGGACCCTTATTAGCCCCCCCATCCCTCCCCTCCAGCTCCCCCCCCCCCTTTACAGTAAAGACGATCGGTGTGGTGCTGCCCACATTAGCCACCACATGATAATTGGTCGATCTGTACAAATAGATGCTACTTCCATATAAAAAGCTCCGACATCTCCCACCCCCTCACGCATAAACACACACACACACACACATACACACACACATACACACTCACGGATAAACCCATAGTTTAATCGACCGGTAGGCACTCGAAAGCTGATGTGGCCAACATCACTTGACCGGACACCTATCATTCCTAGAAAGTTTCCTTGTACCAGTTTGAGACTGAATCGACCTGGGAGCCCTCATTTGAAACTGTGGAAGTTCGTGCACTGGCACCACGGAACTGCAACAACACCAACCCCTCCCCCTCCCCTTTTCACCCCACCTTTTTGGGTACTGGTTATTGTCGATTACGTTAACGAGTCTGTTTCCTTCTAATTATGTCTGTATACGTGTACGTTATATGATCAGTAAGCTTCCTGTCAGTAGCCATCCCCTAGTTTCAGAATTTTTTTTAAACAAAATCCTTACATGGAACTGTACATTTCACAGTTCCAGCAATCCTGTGCTTGGCTGTTGTGTGCAAGCGTACATATACGAGATAAGAAGCTGCACATACGGTAGATTGGCAAAATAAAGCCTAAAGAACGAATTTCGTTTTAAAATGAATGGATTGGTGTTGAACTGTAAAAGTTAGGCGAATTATAATTAAAAATATTTCTCTTTATTTAGGATTTTATAAAGTTTATGTATACATTGTCTTTTTATTTTCGATTCGATTTACACAGCATTAAAAGAATGATATGAACATTTTGTGAACCTGCAACACGTCTACTTTTAGCTACCTGCCGCCAGTAGTAGTTATAATATATATATATATATATATATATATATATATATATATATATATATATATATATATATATATATATCTCAGTGATGATTCGAATCTTTTACCACAGGAGCAGCAAACAAGTCTGTTAGCCACTCCACACCCACGGTTCCATAACGTACATATACACACGCACACAGATACAAAACACACACACACACACACAACACACCAGAGCAGCGTATGTTCGCTGAATTAGACATGCCAGTGGATATTAAATGCATGTTTAAAATACAATCACCATTAGCTTCGTTTATACTTGTTCAGTTCTATGTAAAAGTGTGAGGCAGGGGTGGAGCCGAGGTCGTGTGTCCTGCAGTGGGACACTTCCCGAGAACACCAGTGCCAGCTCTCGTAAAACTCTCTCTCAGTTACGGCTTACGGTGCAATCTTTTGTTTTCTGCCGTAAGAAAATTACAATAACAACTGCTTCTAAATTAAGGTTAATTCTTCCACCCAGAACAAAGACTTTTTTCATAAAGTATTTACATCTTTAAAATAATCGCCATATGAAAGAAGCTTAATTTATGATCTGAACCGTACAGACTGGGCGTCATTTAAAAGATGGCTGCATTTCGAATTCGACTTCATTCTAAGAGACTTCCGCAAAAGAGACCATGTAGGCTAGTGCAAATGGCCTCCGTTTTTGCATATGCTAAATTCAACATTCCATTTTCCTCCCGAAAATGTGGAATTAATGAATCGACTTGGGAGATATAAAGTGCGCGGGCTTTTCAGCTGGGCAGGTTATTTAGCATTTCGCCTTGTTCTGTATGCCTGTGAGGAGATTGAGAAATTTGATTTCACAACACAACTCCCTGATTACCTGGCTATGGGTAGTAATGAAGACGATGATGATGATGACAACATGGTTATTTTCTTCTTCTTCTTCTTTGTTTACCGGCTGTAACCACTGGCGGAAAGTCCTGGTTGTTCGTCCATCGTGACTCTGGCATTGTGCCAGGGCCCGAGTTTTGCGTGTACATCCGTTTTACTGACTTATTTGTGTGCAGTTGGTTGTTCCTTGCCGCTCAGGTAGATGTACTTTGACTTCGAAGGAAGTCCCCGGTTAGTCGACTCCTAAGATATGTTTGTTGGGTAGGCAGTGGATCTATTCTTGTTTTTCCCCACAATGTGGCCCCGGAACCAACACAGGGAGGTTCTGTTTATGAAAGCGTTCGCATTCGCAGTCAACATGTCTCTTATCATCATCATCATCATAATCATCATCATCATCATCATCATAATCATCATCATCATCGTCATCATCATCATCATCATCGTCATCATCATCATCAAAATCATCATCATCATAACTGTTTGGAAAATGAAGTAGGTGAAACACGTCGATATTGATAATTGCTTTATGATTTTATGAAATGAACCTGCTATGATATAGTGTCTAGTATATTATTCTATTTGCTTGGTACCCGTAGGTTCGAATCCCTCTCTTGACGCGACAGGTTCATGACCATGTAACTCGGGGATTAATATTTATATTGTAATAATTTTGTTGGGGGCAAATTGAAATCCACGACCATCGAGCGGACAGGCAAAGGTGTCAGACAGTAACCACAGCACACACTGCTGACCTAGTTGCCTAGTTGGTCCTGCGTCAGAGTACGTTTGTTTCTGCAGCGAGGCCCTGTCGTCAGTGACAGGTTCCACTCCCAGCATGAACACTTTGCTTCACATTTTTTGTTGTTGCTTAGTGTTTCCTTCAATCTTTCTACTTCTTTCTATGAGTGATAATCAAAACATTTTGGTTATATACAATATTTCTACGGCCTCACGTGTTCCCCCGTGTGTTTTTGTCTGTTTATTACGTGCAACGTGCAACTGAAGAAGGTTGGCTATTTAAGGCGATAAAACAAAGAAAATTTAAATATTTTTGGTCACTTGAAACGTCACGAAAGTTTGGATAGAATAATAATGGAGGGGTATATGCCTGGGAAGAAAGGAAGAGGTGGACAACGAGAAGATGAGAGCAGAATGTGGCGGATGATCTCCAGATGGGTGTATCGGAAGCGGGACATCTTGCTTGTGATCGAGAAGTTTTACGGAGGGTTGTTATGGCAGCAAGGTTCTGCAAAGAACATGCTACTGACTGACTGAATACGGGCAACACAATGGAACCGACCAATCAAATCTCTTTTTCTTCAATCAATATTCTTTGCATTTTTAGACACAGCATTATGGCTGTGTGTTGTTGTTGTTGTATATATGATTCGACTTTTGCTTGATGAATATAAATTCATGTAACCTATTGTGCCATGGCAATGGTTTGAGGCTAATTCTGTCCGTATTCCATAGTTGTGGATTCAAGCTGTACGGATGACATGTCTAGGGCTGCGAAGTAGCTCATGCGTTGTTTCTGCAGCGAGGAGATGGTGTAATTTGTAGGTGACAAGTTAGATTCTAAACTATAGCTTTCGAATGTTATGTTGTTTAGTTTGTCCTTCTATCTTTCTAATTCTTTCTGTGAGTGCCGATCAATACAATGTTTGTTTGTTTGTTTATTACATATATTGATCTGTTACCATATTTTATGGGACAACAAAGAGCCGCATCTGCTGGATTCTCTTTGAAGATGTTTTCAGATTTTTAAAATGACATGGTCATTCGTCTACCAAGAAGGTTTCGTAGGTTGACCAGGGCTCGATAATTAGCACTAGAAACATCAAGAGAGATTATACATCAACAGTCAGTTACAATTGTCAACTATTTTGTTTAGTAGATTTTATTTTATAAAGGGCAAAAATAGACACGGATAAGCAATCAGTCAGTAAATATCTTCCTGGAAGCATAAACAAGAAGTAGACGACTAGGAGAGAAGGGTAGTGATCTTCTGTGTCCGGTTTCTAAAAGGCTTTGTAAGTTGGTCCCCGTTTCTCGAAGGAACTAGGCAACTAGTGTAAGTGCAATGGATACCATTCCACTGTGGAGATCCCGGAAATTATAGAGCTGATAAAAAAAGCTAAGGAAAGTGCAACTGAAGAATAGCCTGTCTCTTGTCAACAGAAGAAGAGAATGATTGAATCAATCAGAAAGCCAGCAAAACTGGCACAGGACGATT